CAGGTAATTACTGCACCTTAAGTAACGGTCGAACCTTTTGCACTGTACTTACGTAGGGCGGGGTTTGGCAGGGGAATAGTGATCAACTGCATCTGGTTGTGATAAGCTGTTTTTTCAATAGTTGAGCTTGAGACTTCGTGAAGAAGGGGCATTCGGTTATTGTTTGCTCTCGATTTTGCAAACCAGGGAAGTATAACTAATCATTTGTTGCAATAATATACACTTGATTCTGCTAGTGCACGCTTCAATGCAAATAAAGGTGTACTAATGTCAGGTTTCTGTCGAAAATACTTAGGCAGAACAGACTATCATGTGATGGCTGAAAAAAGGATAAAGAGATGACGGTATAGAAGAAAATCCTTTTCATATTACCCAAATATGTTGTATATAAGAAATGCAACTGAATTTTGTTCCTAACCAGATGAGTACCGTTTGGTTCGGTTAAATTAGACATTCACTGATCTATGCTCAACCAAATACCAGCCACAGTTTAACCAGATTACAGAAAAAAATCATTTTTTTATGAAACACAAAAACGAATGCAGTAGTCACTTACATCAGAAAACAAGTGTAAAGTCTGTCGAATGGAGATTGAATGTCACGTAGGTTTAGAAAGAGAAAGCACTCCCTGGACTTTCCGAATTGTTGTTTATCTTCCTCACAACCGATCTAGCGATTCAAGCAGGGACCGAACTCAGTTCTTCACATAAACATTGCTTATGTACTACCACGATGATAGGTGATGAAGAAGGTTCACACTGCCTAAGAACAACAAAGTACACGGTTAAAATTTCCAACCTAACGAAAACACTTCCTTTTTCACTCATCTAAGCGTCAAAATTCATAGATATGTGAGAAACAAACGAAATTAGAAAAAATTACTTTGAATGAGCTTAGTAATCACGTAAATTGTCATTGCATATCCTAATAAATAAAGGTCTACACAAAATAACTCGATGACTTCCGGGACACAGGGATTTTCACTAAGGACGTTGAATTCAGTGATCGACTGTAAAGTAATTTATAACCTAAAATTTACGCCTTTAATTTTTTAGCAAAGGTATATCAAGTAATACAATAGTATAGATTAAATATACCGTGTTGTGATGATTATCGTCAAAAAGTTTCAACGGACGTTCCAACTAGACAGTCTGTACTATTTTTGCATTTCAAACACGCGTACCGTATTGGGTAGGAATAGCTCGAAATTCCAATTACAGTCGCAGGAAACGGTGATCAACCTAAACTGATGAATGCATAATCTAAAAAACTTTGCATGCGCTCGACAATTTACATGTAAACAGACGGTTGCATAGCAATTTTGAAACTGCTTGAAAACGTCTGATGTATAATATAGCTTTTAGCACATAATTTCCCCAAGTGCCTGAGACCGAGGGTAGATGAAGAACTATTTCAATTTTTACAACAATTCTTTTAGTAAAACTGACCGTGTTTCTATTCATTGGAGAATATCGTCACTTCTAATCATTTCATGTTTTTTTCTGCAGACAAAAAATAAAATAAAATAGGTTGACACACCTTGTCGGTGTGGCACGTTTTGAGCAGACACCGGTGCCGAGAAGGAGAATAATTCTAGGTTCCTATAATCCAGTGACAACGTGTGACAACAATGATCTCCTCGCGTATGGCCATTATGATCAAGATGGCACAGTGTGAAATTACACACTATTGGATTAAAAAGGTATTAAGTTTTTCTTGCAATTCGTCAAAAGTTTGTACCATTTTGATATTAATTTAAACATTTCAAACTTGAAATTACAAGTCTTTAATCAAAATTTGTATTTTTGAACTAACTGATCGGGATTCAAGACACAGCACATTGTAAACAACTTCGAAAGAAGTGATCCGTTTCGGAGATTTGAAGCAAGTTAATCGCAAACACAATGTGTTTTAAAGAAAAACAAAACGGTTATTATGTTTCAACGAAGTGGGCAATAGTCTCAATCGTGCTATTTGATGTTGAAAAGGTAATGGTTGATGTATTTTCCCCATTATAATTGCGTAGGACATTCAAATTTGCTAAAAAATCTCATCCACTGGAAGTTTATCTGGTTGGGTTGTGTAATAAATGCTCAGAAACGTTTCTGAATGGAGAAATAATATTGCAATACTTCAGGTAATTAGATTGTAAAATCAAGAATAGTTGAAATAGCCGATTCGTTATAGCCCTTTGTATCAGTTTATCCTTTTATACTAACCATAAAATCTTGGAATATTCATGATACATGCTTTTGAACGATTGAATACACAATAAATCTCTTAATGAGAGTTTAGATTTGAGACTATTGTGGTTAATATGAATAAGAACAAAGCGTTTTGACTTTGTTCTTGTGCATCAATGGCAACATTTTACGGCCAATATGGATGGAGAATTATGCGGATCCTTCGTTTGTCCAGCTCTTGATTTCAAACGATGATGATTTTCATTGTAAGCGTTGTACAAACCATTCATTAAATTCTGTGATCTGCTAGTACCATTCTCATACGACAGTTACAGGATGTATGACTTAGATGGTTCGATAGATAAAGGTCTTTGAGGAGCTTTAAGACGAAAATGCCAATCTGGCACACCAAAAGTATCGAGATTATAGAATGATCTAACTAAGTGAGTTTTAAGTGTCATCTAAAAGACAGTATGTTTATATAGGTATCATTATATATTTTGGATATGTTACGACGGAGCGCGCAGAACACTTCAGGTCACGCATTGATCCGCGTCACACAACAAGTGCGTTCTTGAGGCCGGATTGGATGACTGAGGCGAATCAGACAGCTATCGTCCGATCGATCGACCAGATTACCACGGTCGTGATCTGATTGTTGCGTCATCACGTACGCCAAATTCACCACATACATTTGCGTATTGTGTCATGATCAATCATATACTCTGATTGTCGTTTTCTCACCCGTGTTCTCTCTCATTGTTGGGGGCTACTCAAAAGGCGCTCATATTGATCATAACAGGATATAAAACTTATTATTACCTTGCCACCGGTAAATGCTACGTATAAGATCATAATAGCCCTATATTGATATTTTATTCAGGAACCTCGGGAAGTGTTGTCTTTTGCAAGGAATGGGTATTATTACAAAACAGCTATAGAACTCAAAAGAGGACATTCAGGATGCATTGTTTCTCAATAATAAGTTTCAATCACCTTTTCATTTGTCATTTGGTCAAAAATTTACAACATTGGGTGGGATTTGGTCCTGCGCCTGAGCAAATTTCTATGAGGCATTCGGTGGTATTTTATGAACGTAAATACCCTCCTTATATGAGATACAAATATTTGCGATTACCGACAAAGAGCACTGCACAGCTCTGTGCCCTATTTGGGACTCATCATCAGTGAGTATGTTTTTGTGTCCCTATTAGGACTCGAAATGCAAACGTCGGGGTTGTAATTCGAAATACTCGTCCCTTAGCCACACAATCGCTTAACAATCGCTTAACGCGCATGGCTCAATGAATTTACAGTATCATGCTTGTATTGGACTATTCAGAGCTTCACGGGCACTGGGTGTTAGCGAATAATTCTAATAGTTTGCAAAATGTTCCTTATCTTCTTGGATTGCATTCTGACCTGCTAGATACGGGGAACATAAATACTGAGTGAATAAATCCATAGTGGTTGCTGCATTTCACAGCGATACGATAAAGTGGTTATGGAAAGCTTTGTGATATCCACTGACGGACCTCATCATCCCAAGTCCTACGCCTTGGCCCACGTAAATCGTGATTAGTTTATTGCAATCTACAGTAGAGAGTTAATGCCCTGGACAAGCATCTTGATCCCCAGGCAAAACTTTTGCGGTTTTGGAGCTTGATTGGCTACCGGGGACCCGGTGATAATTTGCATTGCACGTTCACCAAGTAACCCTCAAACAGGGCCAATTATCCGGATAGGACCAGTAAAAACATATTTTTGGCGGGAGTAACCATGACTCTCTTGTCGAATCAGGAGGCAAGGTGACTCTTTGGAGAGCCTACCACCAGTGTGATACCGATAGGCGAGAGTTGTTTTATTACAGGGCCCAGCCGCCTCCTCGTGGCCCCGCCGACCAGGGACTGCCGTAGTGGTAGTTCTGAGCTAAGTGCTGGTGGCCAAAGCCGGCTAGGCTAATCGCCTGTTCGGAGGTTATAACGGCGATTACTACCAAAACAAATATGGAATGGCCACTTCACAAGCACTGATGATGTCACCCCGGCTGGTGATGAAACGTTTGCAAACAAATTGCCAAGCTCGGTGAACAGGCGAAATGAAATATGGAATCATACGCGCGTCTCTCGGGACGTCGCATCAATCGCCGTCTGGTTGCCTCACATGGTCCCTGTGAGGAGTTGGCTGAGCAAACAAACGGTACTGGTTCACTCAATTGTGTAATCTGCCGGAGAAGTTTCCAAACGCGTGCAGGACTTGGTCAGCACAAGTGACATGCGCATCCGGGAGAACTCAATGCCGAAAGACTGCAGGTATAGAGAGGTCGCCGTACTATTTGGTCAAAGCAGGAGGACGGGGCATCATTGCGCCTTGGCACGTAGCTTGCCTCGTCCTGCCAGATACGACGGGCGCTGTCTGCTCTTCTCGGAGGGCATTTTAGCAACCAACCGAAGCGATCAAAAAGAGGCTCCAGCTTTTGGGCTGGAGTCCTAGTGATGCCCAGGGGACATGTTCACTTTGGAAAGGGAAACAATATCCGACCCAGGCCATACCGTCTGGAGGCATCATGGATGATGAGAGGGAATCGACGTTGTGGGTTGATCAAATGCAAACCACGATTGTGGAAAAGTTGGCTTCTATTGACGGCGGGAAGCTTAACACCGCCCGACTATGCCAATTGGTGCGAGACTGGCGAAACAACCTACTCGATCTCCGCTCGGTGCAACTTGCCTTCGAGGAGCTGGCATCTGAGACCTTCCCGCTTGTGTAGCGCCCCTCATCTGCTGAGCATAAAGCGCTAATGCCGCTGTCAAGACGATGCGGCAAATTCGAAGGGCTCTATGTGCACAAGTGCAGAAACTATACGCTACCGAGCGGAATGACTGTGCTGACACTGTGCTTTCTGGTGATTGGAGGGTAGCTCAAGAGCCCAGTCTAAGACGCCCAAACAGTCTTAGAGGATTCTGGTCTCAGGTCTTTGACCAACCGAGCATGCCCGACCCCGGACCTTTTGAGGCGACTGCATCAAAATGGTCGATGCTGGTTCCACTTGCCGCTGACGAAGTCACTGATGCCCTGAAGCAGATGGAACAAACTGCCCCGGGTCTTGATCGTGTTACTACAAGCAATCTGTTAAAAATGAACCAGGATGGGCCTGTCCAGTTCCTGACCACGATGTTGGTGTTACGTTGTCCGACGAGGCAACTGTCCAGGGTGAGGTTGACCGTGGTACCAAAGACGCGTGACCCAACTGCCCGAGTGACTACCACCCAATAGCGGTCACCTCTGTTCTACTTCGTTTGCTGCACAAAATACTGGCGAAACGATGGATGAGTATAATGGAACTTAGTCCATGGAAGACCACCTTCCATCTGAGGGATGGCTGCCTGGAGGCCTCGCGTTTGCTACATGCTGTGTTGCTTTAACGTAATGATGAATGTAAACTGATGGCGGTTGCATTTGTTGATGTTTCAAAGGCCTTTGACACCATTTCGCACGAAACGATCTTGCGGGCCAGGTGGAGGCAATGGCTGCCCGGACCGCTGCACTTTTATCATGAGCGACTGTATTCTGGTACTGAGATTACAATTGATGGAACAACTGTTACATGCGGTTGGGGTGTTCGGCAGGGGGACCCATTATCTCCGCTGATGTTCATCTCGGCCATGGAGGAGATTAATGCATTTCTAGACCCGAAGTAGTGGTCAAGGTAAATGATATTGATGTCAGTACACCTGCTTATACAGACAACCTCGTATTGTTTACTGTAAATGCAGATGGGCTCAGATAGCGTCTTACTGCGTTATCTGCTGCCCTGCGGGCTGCGGAGATGCGCATGAATGCAAGCAAATCTGCCAGTATGACGATAGTGAAGGACGGTAAGAGAAAGCACCTGGTTCTACCTCAGGGCCAGTTTGAAGTGGATGGGTCTCCCTTGAAATCGATGAATCCAGTTGATGAGGCCAAATATCTGGGTCTGAGATTTACCCGGAAAGGCCGGAACGCTGAAAGACATACTGGAAAGCTAAACGAGATGCTGGGTGATCTCACTAAAGCACCACTCAAACCGCATCAGCGGCTTGAATTACTGAGAGTGTTTGCAATTCCAAAGCTTGTCCAAGATTTGACGCTGGGCGTCGCTCATCGCAACACTCTGAAATCCTTGGATCGCATGATCAGAGAGAGGGTGAGGCACTGGCTGAGGCTTCCTAAAGATACTACTATCGGTTTTTTACGCATCGGCTCGGCTACGAGGACTGGGTCTACCGTGTCTGACAAATACTATTCCTCTAGCGCAGAGAGCGCGTATTGAGCGTACTGGCTCGCATCGAGAACCATTTGACTGCGATAGTCACTGGTACCAAGTCTGTTGGCCCGAATGTACGTACTACCAATATCCCCATCCGCATTGGTCAATCAAACGTGGTATTTGTTTAAGAGGCTAAACAAGCATGGTCAGATGAGCTCCATCGATCTCGTGATTGTAGACCTTTGGCCGGTCTGGATGCCGACCGAGCAAGTATTGAATGGTTCCGAGGCCCAGATAGGGTTCGGCCAAGTCTATTCCTGAGAGCTGTATGGCTCAAAAGTTGGCGTGTTGCCAACAAAGACCCGGCGCAGCCGGGGTGGTCGTATACCTGAAGCTGAACTGCAGTGCCGAGGGGGCTGCAATGATGTTGAATCTATTGATCACATACTTCAGACGTGTGCACTGACACACGCTATACGTTGTGAGAGGCACAACAAGGTTGTGAGGCTCCTGGAGAAGCGACTGGCACGAAATGCCTGAAGCTGATCCGGGAGCCGACGATTCCTCTGGTACGATCGTTCTGTAAACTTGACCTGGTACTATCGAAAAGGGGCAATGATATATGTCTTGGACGTGTGTATCTCGTCGGGCTATCGAATAAGTGACCGACGGACAACGAAAGTCACGAAATGCGGAACACCTGAGGTCGAAAACGCTACTCGAGACCTGTTTGAACTACCGCAGCCGGTTATTCATGTCCCGGTGGTAATAACGAATCGTGGGTTTATGTTACGGCGCTCCGGTACTAGGCTACATGCACTCGAGCTCAGTAAATATGACATCTCGAATGCGTGCTTGAATGCGATTCTCGGATCGACAAAGTGCTATGCAGTATATTCCGCTGGTCTGAGTGATTAACCTGAACCGCCCGTGCGATTTCTCCGTCTTGATGTTCTTGCAGATCCCCGGATGACGTATTGTACTCAAATCTACTAGGAGGTACAAGACCGATCAATGCGGAGAAACTAGACAATCGCAGGTTGCTGCAATCCAAAAGCGAAACCCGAAAACGAAAGCTCTACGGAAGTACAAAGGCTGTCCCATTCTTTTCTTATTCAATTGTTTTCCATCACCACCCCTCCGGTTGTTGTACAATGTTTGCTTTTGGAAAATAAATGTTATCTACCCTAATCGTTTGTTCCATCTGCAACAAACTGATTTATTTTGCAGTTGATCACATTTTTTCACAAAAACTGAATTCAATTCTCAATAGTTCGCTGAATTATCTAGACCAACTCTAGACTCAATACGAGATTCAAAGAAAACACCTGCTCCTTGTCAAATAAACATGTATAAACTCGGTTTCCGATAATTGCTGTACAGTGTGTGAGTGATATACTTGGAGGTGGAATTAAGCCGGAGAGCGAAGTCTATGGCAGATACCATTCGTTCCGTGGATCAGTCGGATTTCTCGAGCAAAAATAATGCCTTGGAAACCTGCAACGGAGCATGCAAAAAGCTGAACTAGTCACATAAGTTTCTGTGAAATTACTGGCGAGCAACATGAACTAACACGAGTTCCAGGAGGGATAATTGTTAGTTCGAAGGAATTTTGTTTCATTTATTTTCCTACAGTTCTTCTATAAATTGTCATATAAGTACGTCTTCTATAATGTTATCATATCATATGAGGCGCCGTCAAATATAGGTGATTAGTTTGAGTTCACAGCAAATGGACGACCGTGACAAAAGAAAAACCGATATGCACAGCCCGATGATGTGAGGAAAACTCCTATATAGAAAAACTCAATTCAAGTTGTCTACACGGAAACCTACCTTGACGCCTAATGTCTATATAATTTATGTTAGATATACGTTGAGCCTGGATGATCCTCATATTCTATTCATTGCGATTCTGAAGCCAATGCGGCAGTAACTATGGAAACGGTTCCCGCCCTGGGACAACCCTAATCAGTGAATCAGATCAATATGTGAATTAACTGACATGCCCCAATGTAACATCGGTAAAATGGAAAACTGATAAAGTTCGTCGGACTAGTGCTAGATACGAGAAAAAAATCCTTACTTTGTGCGTGATCGTAACCTAAAAGTGGTAGAGACGTTCATTTTGTATTCCCAAAAGTGGAGATGATTAGCGCGAAAAACTGACTACGAAGAGAAAATTGAAGTGCTGGCCTACAACCTGCTTCCAGCGCATGTGAGTTGAACGGAAAAAACACATGGTCTAAACCTTATTTATATGTGAGCAAAATCGGTCAGTTTGGAACGATGAGAGAAATTTCACATGAGTTTGTATTTTTTACCGAATGATGTGGTCAAGTTTGACAAGTTGTTCCTAAACTAATAAATGGATAGTCAGCCTAATATGTGAAAATTTGGTATAGGGAAAATGAAGATACTGTTTCACTCACACGGGATCCTGAAAGAAATCGAACTTGACTCCCCGGTTGATTATCATTGGTTAAGGTGAATCGTACAATGATATTCTTAAGGAAAAACGCGATTGATGTAAAAGTGTGAGATGCTTGGCTCGTGTGTGCGGCCGGACGTCCCCCGGGAACGAATACACCAAAAAACCGCAAGGGGGTCGCGTCTAGGTGTGGGCTGAAGCAGTTGACAGACAGGATGTTCTCTGTGGAGAGGGCTAACTAACAATGTGAAAGAGAGGGAATTGCAGGCACCATGAACCAAAGGGTCCAGTGAGACGTGAACACGATTCGCGCTCAAACGAAATGCCGAACAACCAAGGTCGTTACAAAAGTGGTAACTAAAGATGTACTAACATTCTTATTTCTTAATTTTATTCGTGAGCTGCAGCCAATAACTGACGCATTAGTTATTTACAAGAACGTCATAGAGGTGATCAATTAGACCAGTCGCAAAATGCGTTGTCTTCATTTCACGGAAAGCATATTCAGACGAGTTGGGATAACAGAATGACAGACCGCAGTTGTTATTTGGCTCATGCACACAAGATTGCTTGCAGTTTATTTTAGAAACCGTATGCTGGTAACGAGTTATACATAAATTAACTGTGTAACGAGTACTTTATTGGTCATTGGGGGAAGCATCCATTATTTATTGACTCGTTTTAGAGTGCAAACATGAATTGGTTAACAAAGATCACAAAATTGGTTAGAGAATATTTAAACGCCCAATATTTCTGTCGCGCACATCTCTGATGCGTTTCTTTTGGGTATGTGACTCGTAATTGACAACATTACATGTGGCTATGAGGGGTCCATTAACACGTATTTTTCCAGTGTTTTTATTAAGATCATCTTCGTATACAAAATAAAGCAAACACTGACCAAGCAAGTACTGTACAGCTGCTTCGGACCCGATGGGTCTCGCTTGTGATGCAAATCTATCGGCTTAACAGAGGACCTAACCCGAGACTTCATAGTTGTTTTTGCAGTCATTGATTTTATTTTTTTATGAACTATACCAATCAACACTCATCGAAGACGATTGGTATCATTCTAAGGGAAGCAAAATAGTACAAGCATCATACTGTACCAATCTTATTAGGCATCCGGATACCTAACGTTTTATCGCTTGTTGTTTGACATTATTTGCAAGGGTAAATCTGCTACATAGATATTTTATGCGCACTTTCTTTCTGACAACTGAACTAATCTGGGTTACGCTCATTGCACGCAACAGAATATACTGCTCTGGGATGGAGGTTAACAGAAGAGGATTGGTTTTCATTTCAAAAACGTTCTTTTAATACAGACCAAAAGGGCTCTGAATTACTTTGCACGGAAGTTGCAGTTCCCATCAAAATACGCTTAACATTTGATGCTTGGAAATTCGCAAAATGAACCACTTGGCGGACTTTACACCTGTGACAGTATATCCTCTTTAGCAAAGCTGGTGCAGTGGTCAGTACACACCAAATTAACCGAAGAATTCATTTGACAATATCGTCTTCCAAGTCGGTTACTATATAGGCATTTAGTTTAGCAGCTCGTGGGGTATTCATACCGCGAACATCGACAGATCCGAAGATTCTATGAAGACAGAATTATATTATGAAAATATAAAAATGCCTATAATAAAAAACGGAAGATGATCATTTGGTTCCTCTCTCTGAGAAACGGGAACCGCGAATCACTGGGTCCTAATCTATGTTTTTACTGGATACAAAGGATATTTGAAAAATCCTTGTACATGCTATGATGTCACTTAATAGTTCCCGTTCGCTATGATTGTTTTTCTGCAGGAACTAAAAAGTTCTAATTTGGGATTTTTCAGTACTCGGTGAATAATATTTATTCACCGGAACTGGCCTAATGGAAAACGAATAGCTTAAAATCACAGTAGAATTTCAGGGTATTTGACAAGGGCTTCATTCTGATTGTCAAAATCAAACATAATGCTGTGGGTAACCGACCCGTTACAAGATGGTGCCAACTAAAAGCAATCTGAACCGGTGTCTGGAATGCAAATGGGAAGTTCGCACAGGAGATCAATGAGAAAAATTGCAAAGCAATCGAGAATATTATAAAATGAACTCAAAACCATGATTCGATGTTTGTCTGCCTAGTTATTTCATCTAATTTATTTCCGTGAATTAAATGGTAATGTCAGGGTTCAATTCTATATTTAGATATTAAGTATTTAGTTCGGGGATTGCAATTTCAATGATTCTGACATTTGTGTATTCCGATCGGAATACACAAGTATAATGTTGTCCAGTGCTCACGAGCGGCACTATAATCGTCCAACCGACCGAGCACAAACAGAATATATTTGTTATGTTTTACGGAAAACTCTGAACCGAACAGAAAGCAAAAATCTAAGAAATTTGGTATACTGAACAGATCAACAAGCAACTGTAATCTTCCTCACTGCGGCTGACTTAATTTGTTCGGTTCAATCAGGTAATACTTCCAACATAGAGTTCCACACAAAGTATGCAAAAACATTTTAATTTGATTTCACGTATAGCGGTTACTCTTGCCGGTGATGTTTATTGCATTCCATTCCAGGTCAAAGAAGAAATTAAACAGGCTTCTTTAATTTTTGTATGAAAATGAGAGTGAACATATCTCAAACAAGCACTTTTGTACAAACAAACAAAAATACAAATGCATGCGTAGATTTCAATGAGGTACTTTGTGAATATTCTACTTTCAAGAAATTATTTTTATCACGGGTTAATTGCGATGTTTCTTGTTTTCATTCCCAAGTCACCTATTTCTTACGGATAACAAAATAAGATTTTCAAATAAAAAGCATTTGGATTTCTTGAAATCAACCGGGAGATAAATGAAGTTGTTATGGATTTATGTGTAAACAATAGTTGTTTAAAAATGTAAATTAGACCAGCTACCTATTTGTTTTTCCTGCTTCGATAATATTTTATCAGGTTACTTTTTGACGTGGACTGCACCAAATGAGAACTGTCAGCCTTAGTCAGGCGATTTCGCATTATGTATAGAAATTTAAAATTTAAATGAAGCTTAATTTGAGAGAATTCATTTTTCTCTCTCTCTCAAGTTCTTATGCGTACTGTTTACTGACAATTGTTCAAATTTGACCCAGAAATTCTCCACCTTATCACAGCTTTAATATCAATTAAAGATCCGGCATTTGCTCGTTATACAAAAGATAGAAGACTTTGTATTCGACATGACATGCTGCATTAATTTCAATGATAATCAATTGTCCAGAATAACGATTTTATTTGCGGCTGTTCAAGCAAACTTTATTATAATAGTAAATAATTTCACAGTAAGACATTTCTGTTAGGCTGTCCCAACGAAATTTCAGCTCAGTTCATCAACAGACCTGACCGCCTAATGTTGGGAAGTTCTCGTAAACACCAATGATCAAATGTTGAATAAGATACCTCTGGCAACCCGATTTTAGTGAATTTAATGGATTTATTAAGTTTTTGGAAAAGCCTTACAGAATCAAATCCAGGAGTCTCGGATCTACCTAAACCACTGTGCAGTTGAGTCAGCTGATTACGGTCACACCATTAAGTGGTCATTCAATAATGATGAAAGATTTACAAATTTACATCAGAAATCATGCACGGAGAAGAATAACTGAGTTTGAATAATCTTTAAGGCTGCCTTTGAAGACGGAATCCCTTTGGGTAGGCCAATGGGCATGGTTACGTATGGGGCTCACTGAGCTGTTCTGTCCACATATTCCAGAGATCAGCAATGCAGCTGATCAGAGGTTTGCTGCATTCATTATGTTTCTAGAATCGAGGTTGCAAACGTCTTCTTGCCCATTCCCCACTCCTGGCTCAGTGAGTCTGGAAAACCCGTTACAACATTTTTGTACTTCACAGAAACATACTCACTGCATTATATAATTTTTGTGAATTTCATTCCTGAAGTGAAGCCTATCTTGTATGTATGGCATTCCAGCAGTGTTGTTTATTGTGGCAGGTTAGTTAAACTGAAACAATACAATTACATCGCTTAGTTTAACGTTGGTTACAAAGAGGCTCAAATGATCTTCATCTCTGGCAGCATAAAATGCACATGTTGCTCGGAATTTTTCGGTCTCGAACAATGATGTACTCCAGAACCGTAAATCTATGGTCACATTATTCTGTTTCAGTACTCAGGCTTCTTAAATCCTAATGTCGGCTCCCCAGCAGTGTATGCGGTTAAAAACGTACATCGTCACAGCATAAGATAAGCCATTCGTTTGATCGCTTCTATGGACCTCTCATTATGCAAGATATTCTCTGTTATCATGATGAGCGCCAAGAAGACGCTAACCATGTGGTAAAAAATCAACATGTGAAGATAAACACCTTACTTCAGAGAAATTTTATCAAATGAATAGTTATTAAAGCTGGCTAGCTTTCAAAATTGAGCTTGGTGGTATCAGTTCCTTATGATGGCAGCAATTTCGTTATTTGGAGTCAGGTGAATTCACAGCTGAGTTCGCAGACAGTTGTTGAGGTATTAATAATTTGCTTTCAGTGAAATGGACAAAATATGAAATTTTGTCACTCTGAATCCCGGAACAGCCACCTAGGATTGAGAATAAAATATCCACGAAACTCCGTAGTCATTTTATCATATGAATTCACCGTATTTGCTGGTAGTCAACATTGTATGAGGGTTTGAAACAGAATGTCCGAACGAATTTCGTCTGTCTACTGCATCCGTCTTTCGTTTCGTTATCTGTTCAAAACTTTATTGCATCAAATCAGGCCACGTAACATGTAGCCAGTAAAACGAATACCAGCTTCAATATTCAAGTTAACAATTTGTCTGCATTGTTTTACATAATTCTATGTTCATTCTGGGCTAGCAATCAGTAACAAATAAGTGATAGACTTTAAACTATCGTGGACTACAAACAGCCTGCACTAAGTTTAAACATAACCGGAATGGAATTTTGGAAAGTGAAACAAATTTTGAAGTTCCAGGAACGTTGCCTTTTCATCATAAAATGATGCTACTGACAAATATTCGATAGGCAAATAAGATATATAGAAGATTGCAACATTTATTTCTCGAGGTAAACTTGGAGAGCAGAACAAAACTAGATTACAAATTAGCTGTGCTGTTGTGTATGACAAGCAAAATCAGGTAAAGAAACCGCTTTAGTTCGTCCCATTATGTAGGAGTATTCATCTTTTACATAGTGCCTTTTCTGTGGTAGACCTGGGAAGGAAGATGCCCGAAACATGGTGAAGCAATACATTTATAAACGGTTTAGCTTATTCGGCAAAGTTTGACTTTATGCATTCCAATGACAAGATTTTTTAATAAAGAAATCGTGAAATATAGGGTATTACAGAGGATATGTTTTTAGTGCGTGCTGCTTTATACGTATACTTGCTGCAAGGATTGGAGGTAGAGATATATTTGCTAAGATATGAGAAAATACGGTAATATGGGTCCAAAAGGATCCTGGTAAAACATTTGTGGTAAGCGATAAAGTTCTGTGAAATAGAAAACACGATTTATTTCGCCATGTCGAGAGAAGTGGTTTATATTTCTACGCAGCAATTTGAATTCTTCGATAAGAAAGTAGTGAGGGAAAACAGGGGATTCACAGTTCTAGTGAAAATGATGCAATGATGGATAAAACGTTTGTTGAGTAGGTAAGGACAGATTGCACGTTCAAACGGATAATTCAGACAGTAAGTTTCCTGAAATTGTGCAATGCCTAGCCGACACGATGATGGCAGGGCAGATTACGGGAAGTGGTGATTTCGATATCTCCGAGGGAGTGCCTTATGGAAACTTGTTCTTCGTTTATAACGATGGATTGGCTAGAGTTTACTTGGATCAATCTAGTTGTCAACCTTCAGCTAAGGAAACAATACATCTGTACATTTGTAGGGATGCATACTGGGGTTGTAAGGGAAAGAACAATCGGTGAGTGGTAAAGCTATTTGCCTATGTTTATGGTAAATGTAGGAATTGGGAAATTTAATGCTGTAAATAACATCATCCGCATGCCTATTGAGCAAAAACAATAAGGGTAGAGAACATGAAGGGAGACAGAAAAGTACCTTGAAGAATTCTTTGAATGGAGGGCAGAAGCAAAGAGTTCTGTCCCTTATGGTTTATAAAATGTAGCCAGTGATTGAACTATTTAACTGACAGATAAGTTACTCCGAGCTAAATGCCCTCTTCAGAAACACGACGAAGAATTTTTGACCGATGAACACCATTAAAGGTATGTTTATATTCAAAGAAACAAAGTCAAACAGCTTTGCTTTAGGTGTTCAAAGAAGAGAAAAATCATGACTTAGGGACCAAGAGTTAACATAGGTAAATTGAGCCGGATCAGGTGAGTGTAGTTCGGAAGATATTCTTTGTAATAAAATAATTTCTAGAACTTACAAACCAATGGATGTGAAAACAATCACGCAAATTTAAACGTTCCGGTTTCGGTCAAAAGGGGTCATAAAACCAACTCTTCAGCTGCCAAAGATTTCATTTAGAGTAAAAGACAGTTTGAATAGGTCAGTAAAAATAAAGGTTAGAGAAGCTGCAACCTCTGTGAACGAAACTGGCATGCTTTATTTGAAATCAGACTTATGAATATGTAGGAAACTTCGGTTTGGTCCATAATTATATTTGCAGCATTTCCGAGTGGGATGACTGCTGTGTATGAAACAGAAGAGTCTTTTGTGGCCTTACTGAGCTGGCGATTGAGATCTCTCAGGTGGATGGTTGGCAGGCTGTCATTTGATCGGAGAACGTAAAACTAAATCATCATTATTTTTGTACCGTGATGATTTCTATTGTTAAACCTTGCGCATATATAAACACCATTTAGTCGCCAAAGCTCCACTCAGCTAGGTTTCAAGAGATCTGTCACAAAATTTATTTTAGGATTTAGAAACGTTCTTATTTCGGGTACGATTGTTTGAGTGCAGAAGAAGAGAAACAATATGACCGTACGCATAAACTCTCTCACCGGTGCCGCGTATCACAGCAAAGTTTTTTATATTCTATCAGAGTATCACAGAAGACCGAGAGGGCATTGTGTTGAAACGGCGTGAAATCTGCCCATTCTATTACGTCTGTGATTTTGGCAATCGCTTTGGACTGACATTGACGCCTACGCAGCCAATGCTCACTACTCCGTGCGAAGACTTGGTGAAGGTGTTATCGAGCAATCGAGCACATCCCGGTCTAGCTCCAGAAAACGTTCAGCGGAAAGTTTGTAAGTATGACGTCACTGATAATACGAAAGAAACTCATTTCATCTATCAGATAAACCCTGGTACAAATGAAGCACTGCGTCGTACTACGTAACACGTTTAGAAATCTATACAACACAAACAACACACGGGTTTTGAAATAGAACGAGGCAGTAGCTGTTCAAAATGACCATCATCAACCTCGTAAACAGCGTCAATGGCTTACCTCTCGGGCCTTACCTGGCTGACAAATGTGTTTGGTGAGTGACATTGACGACAATCTCTTTCCGCCATACGCTTCTGTTATTTCTGACTACATATTACTTATTACATCAGCTGCAGTATGCAGGTGTACAAATGCACCGAAATAACCCAGGATGCATTGTGCAATCCTGTTTTGGCTACTCTATTCAAATTCGTTACGGGAAAGTGTGCATCCAAGACTTACATGTATCGCAAAAGAATCAATATACTATCAGGTTATCCGTTAAAACATAACATGAGGTCACATTGCGTGCGTCTCTCCAGACCTCATTCCGTCATATGGCTTAATGGATTTCCCACAGAAAAATTCTACAAAATAATACAAACCGTTTTGGATTATTGTTTTGTTGATAGAATAATAGGTCTGTGATTGTGCGAGTCCGATCAGACGATTCGATCACGGTATACAATCTTCATCCATGTCATTTGTTGAGAAACCGTGTTTGATTTGCAACGATTTAACCAGATCCGGCAGGGCTGAGCACTGGTGTGGTTAGAACTGGTACAAGTGCCGTGGTTTCACGATTGGTCCCGTCCGATCACACAGTGAGTGAATGAAGCAGTTCGGTCTCTATACCGTCTTTGGGGTCACGGATCATAGCCGATTAGAAGTTGCACCCTAGCCACCGCAGAGGCGGTTGGAATTCGTCTACATAAATTCCCTTGTGCGTTCAAAAACAATTTGTGAAGGCACTGAACCTACCGTGGATNTGGATGTCCATCTTCCATCATCATTCTCCTCCCCTTGTTCCTCTCAAGCACACCCTAAATCAAAAAAGTAACACGGACAGGAAAAAAACAGCAGCAACAACAACAATCTACATTTTGAAGAATCATTTATTTTGTTTGCTCATTTCTACACAAAATGATGTTATATCAAATGTGACAGATTAGCCAGTTGATGGGTCATCGAAAATAAGCTTCTTTGCTAAACTGCGTTTTCATTTTAATGTGCCGCTGATATATTTCCGGCCCTTACAGAAGATTTTGGTCCCATTCTG